CCCCGAGTACAGCCAGATTGTAAGCCCTCTCTATCTGGTAACTCGCAAGAAGAATGATTTCCAGTGGGGTCCTGAACAACAGCAAGCATTTGAACAGATTAAACAGGAGATTGCCCATGCTGTAGCCCTTGGACCAGTCAGGACAGGACCAGATGTGAAGAATGTGCTCTACTCTGCATCTGGGGATAATGACCTCTCCTGGAGCCTCTGGCAGAAGGTACCTGGCGAGACCCAAGGCTGCCCACTTGGATTCTGGAGCTGAAGCTACAGAGGGTCAGAAGCCAATTACACTCCAACAGAAAAGGAGATCCTAGCAGCTTATGAGGGAGTACAAGCTGCCTCAGAGGTGATTGGCACAGAAGAACAGCTCCTCCTGGCACCTCGGCTACCAGTATTGAGTTGGATGTTCAAAGGGAAAAAGTTCTCTACGCATCATGCCACTGATGCCACCTGGAGCAAATGGATCGCCCTGATCATGCAGCGCGCCCGCATTGGAAACCCAAATCGCCCTGGGATCCTAGAAATTATCACGAACTGACCGGAAGGTGAGAATTTTGGTCTAGCAGAAGAAGAAAAAGGAGCAGGTGGTACGGGCAGAGGAAGCCCCAGCATACAACCAACTACCAGAAGAAGACATACGCTACGCACTTCTTTACTGATGGTTCCTGCCATATTGTAGGAATGAAACGTAAATGGAAAGCAGCTGTATGGAGTCCCACATGACAAGTTGCAGAAGCTATGGAAGGAGAGGGTGAATCAAGCCAATTCACAGAGCTCAAAGTTGTCGAGTTAGCATTGGACATTGCTGAACAAGAGAAGTGGCCAAAACTTTACCTCTACACGGACTCATGGATCGTAGCCAATGCTCTGTGGGAGTGGTTGGACAGAGGGAAGAAGACCAATTGGAAACGTAGGGGAAAACCCATCTGGGCCGCTGATGTATGGCAAGACATTGCTACCCGGGTAGAGAAGCTGATTGTGAGGGTCCGCCACATAGACACCCACGTGCCCAAAAAATCGAACCAATGAAGAGCCCAGCAGTGCCTCCTGCTGACCACCACAGAGCAACTGCAGGCTCTGCTCCTTTAGAGATCCAACAGTGCCCCCTTTTAATCATGGTTAGAATTGCGCTAAAAGGCGGAATGTTCCTCAGACCCTCATTGTGATAAGTACCTTTGAGTTTGTGCATTGGGTTTATGACGTGGCGAACTCAGGACCCATGATTTTTATCCGGAATGTGTCCTCAAGGATGCACAACTTCTCTAGCCTAAGCTGTTTCTCTGGGAGGTTAAGGATAATGGCACCCATCCCTATGGAGAAATTCAGGGGGGTATATTTGCCCAACCCTTCATCCATTTTCCCTTTGGATCTAATACAATTGCCTCTGGGAAGTTTAAATTCTCCTTAGATGTCAGAGACCTTTTACTGTTTAACTTTTAGTGCAAGTTTATGCCATTACGGCTGCACCACCCCTTACTCTAGCCTGGAGAGCACTGAGTTGTCAGTGAGCCAGATTTCTCACCTGGGACCTGACAGAGTTCAAGAAGTGTTTGGACAATGCTCTCAGGCACATGGTGTGACTCCTGGGAATGGGTACAGGGCTAAGGGTTGGACTCGATGATCCCTGTGGGTCCCTTCCAACTGGTCATATTCTGTGATTCTGTTAAACATAAATTTTTTTCACACACAAACCCGACTTGACTCAGTTGCAGAATTACTAAATGTTAATGTGTCATGGTTTAGCTAGTTCTTGGACTATTGTTTACTTTTTTCTCTCGTCTTCTGGGCAATGAGGGGAGGAGTTGGTGTGCTGGGGGTGGCTGGAACACAGGTCAGGAGTGGAGGCTGGTGGTTCCTGTGGCTCGGGACCTGCTTGCCAGTTGAGGACACTACCTGTTTTGTTTTTTTTCTTGTCGGAGAGGAGCTGTTTTTCTGGGGGTTTTTCCCTTTTTTCCTGTTCCTGTTTTTCTTTTTCCCTGGCGGTGGTCCTTGTGCACATAAGGGGGAGAGAGAGGACTGTGCAGAGGAGATTGACCAGTTGGAGTGAGAGTTGTCTGGTCCCTTTTCCTCCTCTCCCTCTCCCCTTTCCCGGTGAGTGGGAAGGGAAAGGGGACTCATTTTTTTTTTTGTTTTCTCTGACACACCCCCGAGGGTGTTCTTCTTCCCCCTCCCCCCCATGTGGCGGCGACCAGGGATCCCACAGTACCTCCTGGTGACTGGCACAGGACATTACAGGTTCTGCATCTCCAGTGATCCAACAACGCCACCTGGTGACTGGTACAGGACATTACAAGCTCTGCATCTCCAGTGACCCAACGGTGCCCCCTATTGACTGTGGTAGGAATTGTACCAAAGGGCACAAATGGAACTGTTTACTTTTCCCTTTGCCTGTTTATCGGTTTGTTTTTTGAAGGGGATTATTTGTGGGTATAGGAGTATTGTTTGGTTGTTTTACTTGTTTCTTTTAGTTGTTTCTGGTAATACACACATACCTATTAATAAAGGGCTGTTATTTTTTCCTTTTCCATAATTTGTTTTCCTTCAATCGGAACCTCTTAATTTCAGATTTATAATTGCTTAGAGGGAGGAGTTTCGGTCTTTTCTCATAACTCATCCTCAACAAAAGACTCGTGTCTCATTTAAACTGGGACATAATGTTAATCTAATAATGAGTAGCAAACAAACCTAAAAGTTTTATGGTTTTTTACTTGTTTAGAATGTAAATAAACTTCCCATATTAGTCAAAGAAATCTTACCTGAACAGAATTTTAGCATGAACCTCTTTGTTAGTCCTTGAAATTTCTCTGAGAGATGTAATTTTTGCATCAAACCAGAATCCTCTTTCTTCTGGAGCCTCAACATTGTAGTTAACCATCACTACATCACCCACTTTTAGTTCACTCCACTTCAGAATGGTTCTTGCTTGTGGTTGAAGATCTTTAGTGTCCATTTCTACTATGCCATTCTCTGGGTACCTTGAAAGGCAAAACTGAACAAAAGTGACAGTTAGTACTCCCAAAGTAGTAAGAAGTAAGTTAAAGACAATATTTTTCAAAATAACTATTGGGATTGTTATTGTTTATTTAAAAAATTGATCTAGTATGCTTTTTCTAAGTTTCTAAATTTTATATTAGTTTAAATGCAGACTAGTGACTTGACTAATCTCCTTGCAGATAAAGGGTTCAGCAATCTAAAGGAAAAAAAATATCCACGAGCATTTGTGGATTTCTTTTTAGAAGTTCAAGTTTCCACATAGGCACAGACCAGATTTGTTCTCAGTAAAGTCAAAGGATCCAATTAAACCAACAGTGAAAAAAACAACAAAGATTAAAACTTGAATCTTCAAAACTTCTAAATTCTAGTTTTACTTGGCCTTTGTACATTCGTTACATTTCCACCAATTTCAATAACAAAATGAAATTTTAAAAAAAAACTACCCTACAAACACAACATGTATAAAAAAAGATCTCATGATGAAGGTTGAATGAGTCCACACTCCATTTAACAATGTTTTTAAAAATGACTAATTGCAGAAACACACAGCCAAAATCAGGACTAGTTATAAGACTTTCTAAATATGTCTGCTAATAGTTTGGATGTGTTTTCTCTCTTCGGTTATGAAATTAACCCCCTATTATGTTAAATCAGAGAAGTGTTACTTCAGGATTTGTCTGAATGAGATACAGTAATGCTTGTAAAATTATAAGAAATAAAAAATAGGCATTAAGAAAAAGTTCACTAAAAGACTTTTAAGGCATTTTGAGTTCTTTGGCAGTTTGTTGGGGGTTTTTTGTTGTTTTTTTTTTTTTTTTTTTAACTAAAAATCTGATTATCCCTCCCCTTCTGACTATATTATGAATAATTTCTGATGAGCTCTATTCCTCTTTAAAGTTGAGAGGTATTCATTTAGAACAATTAAAATAGAACTATTTGAATAGGAGTTTTGGAAGTGTCAATTCTGCTTAACACCATAGTCTTACATTGTCTATGTAAAGACATTTTGCAGGACCTGTAGAGGTTGCATAGTCTCTCTGGTGCTGAAAAATTGTGCAATGTGGACACTGATAATAACCACAAGAAAAGGAAAAGATAGAAATATAACCTCTTAAATTAAACTAGGTTAATTAGAATAGAACAGAATGGAATGGAATAGAACAGAACAGTTCACTTGGAAGGGACCTGCAGCGATCATCTAGTTCAACAGCCTGGCCAATTTAGGCCTGATCAAAAGTTAAAGCATGTTATTAAGGGTATTGACCTAATGCCTCTTAAACACTGACAGGGTTGGGACATTGACCACCTCTCTAGGAAACCTGTTCCAGTGTTTGACCACCCTCTCAGTAATGTTTCCTAATATGAGGTCTAAACCTCCCCTGATGCAACTTTGAACTGTAATGGCCAGTCTTCGCGAACGAAGAACCGGGGAAGGTCTTTGCACCTTCCAGCCTGCGCATTGGATTTTTTAGGTGAGACACAGTGTGCACGGAACTGAGCCCACCCTTTAATCCTAAGGTTCATCTGCCGGGGCCAAGCGAGCTTGGACGGCGGCAGTGAGGTCCTCAGGACGTAGATGGATTGCCTTACAGGACTAACGAGCTCCATCTGCCTGGGGAGTGGCCCCGACTGGGAATCGAACCCGGGTCTCTGCAGTGACAGTGCAGCGCCTTTACCCTCTAGACCACCAGGGGCTCCCTGCAACTTTGAACTATTCCCACAGGATCTTCTCACTGGATACCAGGGAGAAGAGATCAGTAACTCCATCTCCACTTCCCCAGTCTTCTGAGGGCTATCAACCTGGAATGTGGGTTTGCTAGCTAGTTCCTTTGTGTGTGTCAATCACCCTAGCCAACACCTTCCCCCTCCCTCATTCAACATCTTTCTTTTACAATGATGCAAGAGAAAAAAAAAAAAATCCCCCCTTGGTTTCTTAGAACAAGTAAACCTATGACACCAGACTGAACAGACCAAGTGACCTCAGCCACTCCTCATATGGCTTCACCATCTTCTTGCCCTCCTTTGGATGCTCTCTAATAGCTTAATATCTTTCCTATATTGCAGACACCAAAACTGCATACAGTGTTCAAGGTGAGACCACACCAGTGCAGAGTAGAGCAGGACAATCACCTCCCTCGACTGGCTGGCTATGCTTTCCCTGATGCACCCCAGGGCAAGTCCAGATAGTGCTTCCATGACTCAATAATAAAAGAGGGTAGTCTGATCAGGCAAGTACCTTCTCAGCATGTTCATTATGGTCTGTTGAGAAATGATAGGTTCCACTAGGGGAATGAAGGCACATATCAAGGGTTCTAAAGGAATTTCCTTCACCCATGAACTACACATCTGGTTCAGGGATGCAAGCTTCAACGTCTACCGATTGCCATCCTTTCGTTCCTTGCCAGGCCCATTGTTGATGATCCATGGGATAGATCCCATTAAAATAGTGGACTCCATGAACCAGTTTTTCACATTTGTCCTGAAAATCTAGTGAAGCAAGAATCATGGGGAATTGGGATTTCTGCTTCAGAGTAGCAGGATGTCAAAGGAGGAAAACTGTAAAAAAAAGAACAAAAAGTATCCTGTCTAGGTTACAAGCAAAGCAGCAGGTAGTTATTTGAGTTACTCTTTTCAGAATTCCTTCATAGAAAACTGGTCCTAGTACCCCTGTAATTAGAACAGCGGTGATGGTATTGGTGGGTGGAATACATGCTCACACTGTAGTCCTATGAGAGCTTGTGAAGGTGATGAAAAGAGGAATTTCTGTAATAGGTCAGTCTTAGGGATCATCAGTAGCTGCCAAATAGGGAAAGAAAAGAGGGGTGAGAACAAAATGGTTGTGACCTCAAGGTCAGACTCTGTCAGTTATAATAAATATACCAAAACCCCAGGGCTGAATAGTAATGAATTGCGCACATCTTTCAGGAAGTGTGAGGAGGTGATCCCCAAGGAGTTCATAAATACAAAAAACACCAAGGAAAGTGTCAAGTAGAACAGAACAGAATAGAATAGAATACAATACAATACAATACAACAAAACAGAACAGTTGGAAGGGACATACAGCAGTCATGTAGTCCAATTGCCTAGCCAATTCAGGGTTGATCAAAAGTTAAAGTAATACGATTACTAAGGGCAATCTTCAAATGCCTCTTCAACACTGACAGGTTTGGGACATCGACCACCTCTTTAGGAAGCCTGTTCCAGTGTTTGACCACCCTCTTGGTAAAGAAATGTTTCCTAATGTCTTCTGAACCCCCCCTGAATCTCCCTCCTTTGAACCATTTGTATGTGTTTTGTCACTAGATACCAGTAAGAAGAGACCAGTGAGGTCACCCCTCAGTCTTCTTTTCTCCAAACTAGACAAATCCAGAGACCTTAGCTGCTCCTCAAAAGACATGCCTTCCAGCCCTTTACCCATATTTCTTGCCCTCCTCTGAACGTATTTGAGCACTTAAACAACTTTCTTCCATTGAGAGGTCCAGAAATGCACACAGTACTCAAGGTGAGGCTGCACCATTGCTAAATACAGCAAGATAATCACATCTTTTGAGTGGTTGGTTATACTATGTTTGATGCACCCCAGGATGTGGTTTTCCCCTCTTGGCTGCCAGGGCACACTGCTGACTTATACTGAGCCTGCTGTCAACCAGAACCCCCAGATCCCTTTCTGCAGGGCTACTCTCCAGGCACTCCTCTTCCAAACTCTACTTATGACTGGCATCATTCCATCCTAGGTGCAGAATCCAGCATTTGAACTTTCATTCCATTAATCATAGCCCAATGCTCTAATCTATCTAGATCCCTCTTCAAGGCCTCTTGTCCCTTCAGAGAGTCAACAGCACCTCCCAGTTTGGTGTCATCAGCAAGCTTGCTAATGGTGTATTCAAGTTCTGCATCCAGATCATTGATAAAAATATTGAACAGAACTGGTCCTAAAAAAATTTTGCTCCCATTCCCGATATAGGGCTTGCACACTTTTCCACCCCTTGCTACCAAAATGAGGATTGCCTTTTCAGGAATGCCCAGGGCTAAATATTCTTTCTATGCTTCAGGGTGTTATAGGTAAGGGCATTTTTGCACAGGCTTAGGGGAATTTTTAACTACCTGGACACAAAGGAGTTTGCCTGTAAGTAAAGCTGCATATTAAGGGAGATGGGATGATAGCAGAATGGGCATAGCAAAAACTACCTCTTATAATACCTGGGTGTTGCACCTGTAAAGCAAGCGTCTATTGACAATAAATGGGATCTGAGTGGATCATGATCCTTTTTGAATAGTGGGTGCTGCTGGGCCTCTGTGGGACAACCCCATAGGTCTTCCTTTGCCATAGGGGCTACATCAAAAATGCAATTGATAACCAACCTACCTATGTAGAGTAGGAAACAGATAAAGCCTTGACACTGTATATAAACGCTACTCAGCAGTAGCCAAAACACTGGTGTGTTATCAAAACTTTTAGTCACAATTCGAAATCACAGCACCATATGGGTTTCTACGAGGGAAATTCAATCCATCACAGTCAGATCCAGCACACTTGTTTAATTTTAGGAACTTCGGTATAGCCCTTCATAAATTCATAAATTTTTTGCAGAAATTCAGATGTCTACTTTAAATAGGCTGTGACATTTCTTATTTTCTCCATCTTAAAGATTGCAATCTTTACAGTCTCCTTGAAGAATTCACTGTTAGCCTTCTCTTCCATTGATAGAATACCATTCCTAAAACATGACACCATCTTTAAAAAATGTAAAAAGAGGATCCTGGGAACTACCAACCTGTCAGCCTCACCTCTGTGCCTGGGAAGATCATGGAACAGATCCTCCTAGAAGCTATGCTAAGACACATGGAGGACAGGGAGGTGATTTGAGACAGTCAGCATAGCTTCACCAAGGGCAAGTCCTGTCTGACCAACTCAGTGGCCTTCTATGATGGAGTGACTACATCAGTGGAGAAGGGAAGGGCTATAGATGTCATCTATTTGGACTTCTATAAGGCCTTTGACATGGTCCCCCACAACATCCATCTCTCTAAATTGGAGAGATATGGATTTGAGGGTAGACAGTTTGGGGGATGAGGAATTGGTTGGATGGTTGTACCAGAGGGTACTGGTCAACAACTCAATGTCCTGATGGACAAGTTGTTTCCCTCAGGAGTCTGTATTGCACCAGCACTGTCTAATATCTTCATCAATGACATAGTGGGATCAAGTGTACCCTCAACAAGTTTGCAGACAATACCAAGCTGAGTGGTGTGGTTGACATATCTGAAGAATGGGATACCCTCCAGAGGGACCTGGACAAGCTAGAGAGGGGAGCCTGTGGGAACCTCATGAACTTCAAGAAGGCCAAGTGCAAGGTCCTGCACTTGGGTCACAGCAATCCAAAGCATAAATACAGGTTGGATGGAGATTGGATTGAGAGCAGCCCTGAGGAGAAGGACTTGGAGTGTTGGTTGACAAGAAGGCAAATATGACTTGGCAATTGTCATAGTTCTGATTTCAGCAAGGAATTTTTCTTTCCCTTCCCCCCTGTGTATGTGCTCTGTGGATGGGCCATCATGTGAAACAAAAGAATCGGTCAGGCTCAGTAATGGCCAAGAGATCAGTCTCCTTGACAACAAAGGGGGGGGGGGCTGGTGTGTGGCTGGAAGGAGGTGGGGCAGGGTGTCAGCTCAGTCTCTTGACCCAGAGGAGAGCGGCTGCGGGCTGCAGACACTGCCAGGGGTTTTCTTTGTCTTTTTCCTGTCGAAGGGGAGTTTTTGCTGCTGCTCTCGGCTTAGCTGTTGCTGGCTGCAGGCCCTGCTTACAACGCACCCTAATCAGCTGAAGTTTGTTTTCTTCCATTGAGAGAACTTTATGTTTTATTGCTGTTGTTTTTCCTTCCCCTTCTTCCCCCCCCCCAGCCACCTGGTGGCAGCCAAGGATCTCACAGCGCCGCCTGGTGACAAGCACTGGACATTACAAGTTCTACTCCTCCAGTGATCCAACAGCACCACCTGGTGACTACTATAGGACACTACAAGTTCTGCACCTTCAGTAACTCCTATCTGGCTATGGAGAGGACATGAAACAGTGGGACAGGAAACCTACCCATGTCTTGGCAGTCCGAGTACAAGAGCTGAAGGACAAGGAAAAAGCAAAGTCCATGAAAGTGAGTGCAGTGCCGGTATCCCATGGGCAGGGATCTGACCCGCTAGAAGGTACCTCCCGCCGGTATTTGCAGACGGAAAACTGTGACGAGCAGGACAGAAACCAGTATTAGAGGGGTCCTGCCTCTAGCCAGGTAGAGGCATGGGACAACCGTGTCTATTGGACGGTGTGGATCCGGTGGCCTGGCACATCAGACCCACAAGAATATAAGGCTTTGGTTGACACTGGCACTCAATGCACGTTAGTGTCCTCAGGACATGTGGGACCAGAGGTTATTTCCATTTCTGGGGTGACAGGAGGGTTGCAGCAGCTGACCGTGTTGGAAGCTGAAGTGAGTTTGACCTGGAAGGAGTGGCAGAAACACCCCCTTGTGACTGGTCCAGATGCCCCATGTATCCTGGGCATTGACTACCTTAGGAATGGGTATTTCAAAGACCCCAAGGGACATAGATGGGCTTTTGGAATAGCTGCTGTGGAGACAGAGGCGGTTAAGCAGTTGAATTCATTACCTGGTCTCTCGGACAACCCTTCTGTTGTTGGACAGTTGAAGGCTGAGGAACAGCGAGTGCCAATTGCCACTACAATAGTGCACCACTGGCAGTACTGAAGGAACCGAGACTCTGTGATCCCCATCCATAATATGATCCGTGAGCTGGAGAGCCAAGAAGTGATCTGCAGGATCCATTCCCCCTTTAACAACCTCATCTGGCCTTTGCGTAAATCTGACGGAGAATGGAGATTGACTGTGGACTATCGTGGCATGAATGAAGCCACCCTGTCTCTGAGTGCTGCTGTTCCAGACATGTTGGAGCTCCAGTACGAGTTGGAGTCTAAGGCAGCGAGGTGGTACGCCACTATTGACATCGCGAATGCATTCTTCTCCATTCCCTTGGCAGCAGGGTGCAGGCCGCAGTTTGCTTTCACGTGGAGAGGCGTGCAGTACACCTGGAACCGACTGCCCCAGGGGTGGAAAAACAGTCCCACCGTCTGCCACGGATTGATCCAGGCTACGCTAGAGAAAGGTGAAGCTCCAGAACACCTACAGCACATTGATGACATTGTCATATGGGGGGACACAGCAGAAGAGGTCTATGAGAAAGGAAAGAAGATCATACAGATTCTCCTGGAAGCTGGTTTTACCATCAAAAAGAGTAAAGTCAAGGGACCCGCTCGAGAGATCCAGTTCCTGGGAGTAAAGTGGCAAGATGGACGTCACCAGATCCCGACTGAAGTCATCGAT